TAGTAGCAGGAGCAATGACTGTAGGTGGTGGTGCCTTAGCAATGGCAGCAGTACGACTGCGAGGAGATTGCTTAAGCTCCGGATGGAGCTTCCAACAAGTACCCCTGAGATGTCCTAGTCAGCTACAATAATCACACTGACGAAAATTTCCATATCTACGCTAATGTGGGGGTACCCTGACGGCGCTGGGCCGAGCATTGTCGACCCCTATACCCCGTGGAAGTACTAACAGATGTCTCAACGGTAGGAGTCTCAACTCCCTCAGTAGTAGTCATATTATCAATAATACTATGACACTCGTGACAGAAAAATAACTCTAAGATAAATAGAGGGACAAAATAAGGGAGAATAATATACCTCCAGTCGAACAGTAGCGACAAATAATGAAGGTCTAGAAAGCTCCCAAATAATCAAGGTCACGGTGCCCAGAAATCCAATAAAGATAAATAAGTGATCCATTGCATCAAAAACAGATCACCGGAGAAGAGGATTCATTCCCTCCTAAAAAAGTCCTAGGACAAAGCCATAACGGAAATTGCGACCCAACAGTGGGCTGGACAATGACCCAGCAGTAGGAGTTCAGTTTTACTGCGTTGCTGGGTTGATTTAATATGTCTTTCGATTTATTGGGTTGGATCTGAGGTGGTCTAGTATTATTATTATATGGGCAGTTGGTATGGGCAGTGGAGTGGTTGGGTTCATTTGGTTATTGGGTCGGTGGGGTTTCTGGGTTCGTTCGGTGTTAGTTGGGGTTGGGCAGGTATGTGAGGGCTGTCGGTGTTTTGTCGGTGTTGGGTTGTTTTGGTGGAAGGCAGAGGTTGTATCAGTGGAGGGCTGGTATGTGGGTTTGTGTTCGTTTGTTGGTGGAGTGGGTTTGTGGTAGTATGTCGGTGGATTTGGGAAGTATCAAAGCAGGTCGCAGTTTGTGGGATTGGTGGATTTGGGCAGTATGCAGTCATGGTGGATTTGTGTTGCTGAATTGGGCAGTTGGGTTGGTGGGTTTGTGTTGCTGAAGTATGGCTGGGCAGTATGCAGTCACGGTGGAATTGTGTTGCTGAATTGGGCAGCTGGGTTGGTGGGTTTGTGTTGCTGAACTGGAGCAGTCGCGGTGGCTGGTGGTAGTGTGGTGGCTGGTGGCTGCAATGGGAAGGAGGGGCTAGGGTTAGGGTTAGGGTTAGGGCTGTGGCTTTGATACTAACTTGATGTATTTGAGAGTAACAAGGGATACAAACTAAATGTAGAACCCCGTATATATAGCTAATGAAAGTTTACAATAAGGATAAAAAAGGTAAAACAAAATAAACCCTAATAAACTAGGTTGTTATATCTCCAATAGGCTGCTAAGGCTGTAATGGTGGAGGTTGTGGTTTGGTGATGTAGAGGGAGACCTGTGTGTACTCTATACTCTACAGGGGGATGGGGAGAGAGAGAGAGAGAGAGAGAGAGAGAGAGAATTACAGGAAAAGAGTGAGAAACATGTGCGTACTGTGTTTGAGAAGGAGAAACAGAGAGAGGGTAAATGATTTTCTGACTGCGTCGTGTATATGAGAGAGAAAAGGAGAGGGAGAAGGAGAAGTGTGCTTGGGTCCATGTGCACTATTAAATTTGGGAATAATAGCTGAAGGGAGTGTTANGGAGAAAAAGGAGAGGGAGAAGGGGAAGTGTGCTTGGGTCCATGTGCACTATTAAATTTGGGAATAATAGCTGAAGGGAGTGTTAAATAATGATGGAAAACCCCTCAAGACCCTAATGCGTCAAGTGATATTTTTCTGTCTTTGATATAAATGGCAGTTAGTGCCATGGAACACATCGGTCAAATGTGTACACTTTGAGGATCAAATTGACAAAATCAAAACTTTCACAACCAAAATACAATTAACGAAAAACCTCAACTATTAGTGCAATTAACCCAAGAGAGAACTAGTTTTGGAGGAGAAAAGTAAAATGACATAATGAATCAATGAACTGGTAATATAATCATCATAACTGTAGGTAAAAGCACCTGTGAATCTTCTTTCAAAATTATACCTGCTTAATTATTGATGATTGCTCCAAATTTAGTTCTGAAATGTCAATATTCACTTCATTTGAATCTTCTTCATGACGAACTGTCTGCATAAACAATGAAATGCAAGTCATTCAGTGTAACTGCAGAATAAGTTACTTGGCAGGAATGCCAAAATTTAAGATAATGAAATGATAATATAATTGTCCCTCAGCTTCTCTGTCAATATTGCCAACTTGCCCAGGCTAATCGAGAACTCTGGAAACGAGTATCTAGCTGCTTGAACTATCCAAACATTATTGCCATCATGCAACCACACACTAGCAAGCCTATTGTTTTGATGAAATCCATGAAAGATTTCAAAGCACCAATGAGTGAGCCAAAAAAACCAAATAATGCTGCTGCCTATATTGGAGGAAGTAGTCCAGCATATATGACTAGTGTTTGAAAGGTTCAATTAAGACGGACTTGATCAGATCATCGAATAGGATACTTTGAGTAAAATTGTATAGGCATTCCCCTCTCCAAACTTGCATTCTAACACATCTAAGGACTACTTTTCTGGACCTTGCTAACTTTTTTCTGCCACATCTTAACTGAAAGCATTAGGCCTGGAGCACTTTACAGATATATTTTACTTCGTAAATAATCCTCTTATCTATCAGGGAATGCGACATGGTCTCCACCCAGTTAACTTGTCTGGGGTAGTGTTTCCAGATTCCCAGAAATATATGCACCATGCCATCTGTAGTTAAATTTATAGCAAAACCTAAATATGCCTAACTCCATTACTTTCTTATCATAAAGCGAAACCCAAAAGAATGTTTAAAGTATTGGTGTATTGGAAGGGTTGATACCTTGAAGGGGAAGTTCGTGCTCAGAAGAATAATCCTCTAGAGGACTTGTACATGGAGCCAGATTAAGACCAGTTACTCCAACATAAACCACTTTACTCAATCTATCTGGTAAAAAATTCTCATATTAATTACCATTGGATGATCGTTGACAATATCCCTTCCCCCATTGACTTCAAGGATCCTGCATATGTCTCGATGTCCATAAAGCCTTGCATCTGTCAAAGGCTTGATGTTAACAATCAAAAGACAGTATTAATAATGGTCCAACCTGCAGTAATTACTCCAGTAAACTTTTCACTCGTATCCTATCAAAATAAGCAACTTTAAAAAAATTTCCACTTTGAATCAAAAACACGACTGAAAATGAAAAAAGTATCTAAAACCTCCAAGGTTAAAGAAGCCAATCAGGTTTATAGTTTCTGTAAGCCATTTAGGACTGTTGGTGCAGGTATTCCACTTTATATTGATTCCTGATAGTACACTTTACCATGTTTCTTTTAATGGAAGTAAACTGTATTGCCATGTAAATTTCTCTTGACACAAAAATGTTTAGGCAATCCAAGAATTCCCTAGATAGGCCAGAATCAAATGTATCCCATTGAATACTAGTCTAGTAATAATTTTCAAAACAGCTAACCCATGATAATTAGCTAAACAGAACTAGAACAGCAAAAATCAGTTATTTCATTAAGGCCTAACCAGTTATAATTAATTAGGCAAAAAGAATGAGCAAAAAATCAGTTGTTTCACTTAAAATTTAGCTTTTTCCCATCATGACTCAAAAATTTTACATTCAAGAAGCTCAGATATGTTATTACAACTTAGAACTAAGAGTGTTGAATGAGCCAATCTGATGATCAGTGAAAAAGTCGGTTCCTATATTCCCCAAAAAGATTGAAGGTGCTAAGAGATATGAATGCTAGAAAAGTAAGTAATACATTGAGAATTGGATCCCATGTTTTAACCATGACTCATCACAATAGTTTGATAAGACAAACCTTGAACAATTTTCAGGGGCAGCCGTTGAAGTGATGGTTTCTTCTTCTTTTCTTTCTTTTTTTTTGTTGGGGGGGGTGGTGTGTCGAGGAGGTCAACTCTACATAATTGTAAGAGTTTCTTATTGAGTTATGCATAATTTGAAGGTATTTTTCAAATCTTTACCAGACCCAGAATTCATCGCTGGTTGCTGGCACAACAAAACTGAATCCTCAAATTATTAGTGGGAAACTTCACTCTTTTAAAAATGGTCAAAGCATCACTGACATTCTTTACATCCTCGAGCACTTTACACCCTCAAGCACTTACTATATCCTATTAGTATGTTACAGACAATTTTTGGAGGAGATTTCTAAAACAAAATGAAAATAGACCTGAGGGGAAGAAAACTCGCTTCGAGGGTGGTGAAAATCTCCAATGGTTCACTTCGAAGAGAACCAAACTTCCAATCATTTCCCAAGGAAGCAAGGATCAAAATTTCGTTTTGCAGTGGTCGAAACGTCCGAAATATTTCCGTTTTCAAAGAGACCGAAACGAATTAGTGATGAAATTGGAATTATAATATTTTAAGGTGTTTTGTAATAATTCAATATATTCGTACAATTATTTCAAGATGTTTCAAGATATTTCAATTTTCAAGATAGTTTGGTATAATTCAATCAATATTTTGAAAAAATAATTCATAATTTTTTTATTGTTTTTCATTCTATTTTCAAAACGGGTCAAAACATTTTCAAAACACGTCGAAATGTTTCTATTTTCTAAGAGACCGAAATAATACACTGAAACAAAATTTTGATCCTCGCAAGGAAGTTTATCTCAAATTCAACATACATTTTCATTGATAAGAAGTTGTTTAAATACATAATGAAAATAACCAACTCAACTCATAACTCCACTATCTAGATAACCACCTAGATTAGAAAGCCCACTTGTATCATACCACTAACCTACTCACTAAAAAACCTTCTTAAACTAACTCTGATATCATCTACATAAATTTATAAAAATTAGGCACATAACATTCCATTCCTGTTTTAAAAAATTTATCCACAAAGTCTGATTTGCCATGAAAATATGGAGGAGGCCAACCCACTTCCATGTTCTCATAATTATTAGGGTCATTTTTGACTCCATAGAATCTAGCGAGACCCTCCACAGTGGATGAGAAGGCTGGAGGTGGCATCTTGACTATTATTATCTCTAATGACCTTCTGTTCATTAACAAGAAACCCCACCAGTTGTTGAGGTACCTTGCAGCGTCGTGCATCTTCAACTGGGTCCACCAGCTTCAAGTTGGTAAGGGCCCATTTAAGAACTTCAGTATCTTCCGTGAGCAGTTTATGCCATAAATGCACACCTCCCTCTGGATAGGAAGCATTTGATGGGGCCATGGATACAATGGCAGTGTATTTTAGTTCAAGGAATTCCTTGCTTCGACTTAGCAAAATGGTGGGATCTTTTTTGCCATTGTCTCGTGCAAATGTAACATTGAAGTTGTGGAGATTATCAAGCTTAATCAACCAGAAATAGAAGATGGGTGACCATTATTCGTACCTCCTCTATTGCGTTAGATTGAACCCTTGTCTTGCTCATGGTACTGACCTCGGTTGGCCATTAAATGATCAAAACAAGAGTTCATGNACTTTTCACTCGTATCCTATCAAAATAAGCAACTTTAAAAAAATTTCCACTTTGAATCAAAAACACGACTGAAAATGAAAAAAGTATCTAAAACCTCCAAGGTTAAAGAAGCCAATCAGGTTTATAGTTTCTGTAAGCCATTTAGGACTGTTGGTGCAGGTATTCCACTTTATATTGATTCCTGATAGTACACTTTACCATGTTTCTTTTAATGGAAGTAAACTGTATTGCCATGTAAATTTCTCTTGACACAAAAATGTTTAGGCAATCCAAGAATTCCCTAGATAGGCCAGAATCAAATGTATCCCATTGAATACTAGTCTAGTAATAATTTTCAAAACAGCTAACCCATGATAATTAGCTAAACAGAACTAGAACAGCAAAAATCAGTTATTTCATTAAGGCCTAACCAGTTATAATTAATTAGGCAAAAAGAATGAGCAAAAAATCAGTTGTTTCACTTAAAATTTAGCTTTTTCCCATCATGACTCAAAAATTTTACATTCAAGAAGCTCAGATATGTTATTACAACTTAGAACTAAGAGTGTTGAATGAGCCAATCTGATGATCAGTGAAAAAGTCGGTTCCTATATTCCCCAAAAAGATTGAAGGTGCTAAGAGATATGAATGCTAGAAAAGTAAGTAATACATTGAGAATTGGATCCCATGTTTTAACCATGACTCATCACAATAGTTTGATAAGACAAACCTTGAACAATTTTCAGGGGCAGCCGTTGAAGTGATGGTTTCTTCTTCTTTTTTTTTTTTTTTTTT